ACCACAGCGCAAACGCTTCCGCGGAATCTGTCTTCGAAGTGGGAATGTGATTGTAGTGCAACTACTACTTCGACTGTACTGCCTTCACTCAACGGTGCGCGAGCGACCGCGAAAGTCACTTGGCTGTGACGATGAGTCGCAATGAGCTGAGTAAAATTGGCAGCTCATAGCATGCTTTCTTGCAGTATGAATGGCCGACGCTATTGGGCATCGACAAGGACATTCGTGACTCACACTCCGCACTGGAAGGTTTGCATTGTCGATGCTGCTCAAGACACGCGTGGGCACGAAAGCCTGCTCAGCCGCTTCGTCTTGTCATCTTACGCTTGCGGCATAGTAGAGTAGTGTGAGTATACTCAGAATGCATAAATTGGTCGACAGGAGGCATCGTAGTCTTTTCGCTTGCTGCTGGCTAGATCACATAACCGTCTTGCGGTGGGAGACTCGTTGAAAGACTTGCGTGAGCCTGACTGCTGACATGCGCCGAAGACAAGCCAGATGGGTGAACGGCGACGTGAGCGCGTGCCGGACCTTCCTCTGCACGCAACACATATCGGGTAGTCTCCTCGCAAAGCTTGGTGCGAAAGTGTTGGCAGACATTCCCGATTGGAGCTCGACATGCGCGCAACTGCAAGTAACCTGCGTCGGAGTTTCCCTGGTCCGGATTCAAAGCGGATGTGACGCAGGTTTGCAGCTGCTTCGGAATTTACGCATCGTGAATCAGAATCAAAATGCAAGTCGTGAGTGAGTGAGTGTGACCTTCGCTATGACTCAAGAATGTACCTAAAGGGAGGCTCTAACCCGGCGCGCTTCCCGCGAAGCGATCACTTCACACACACTCCGGAGCGACGTGAAATAAGTACGTGTCTGTATAGACCGATGCTGTGCTGCAGAACGTGGATGGCACGTTCGTGATCAGGCTGCACACAGCGTTTGTAGGTTGCAAGGAATTCTCAGAATCCATTCAAGATTCTGGTCGCTTGAAGACGCTTGCGAGCAAGCTCATGGATGAGCTCACAAGCACAAGGCGAACCTTGCTTGCCCCAGCACGCAACGCAACACCTGCGATCGTTGTTTCTAGATTGACAGTCACTGCAACGTCACCGCTCGGAGTGCAGCAACGGTGGTTGAGCAGCGCGCCAAAACTCAGTGGACCGTAGATGTAGTCGCGACACTAGGCGGACATCGAGTCGTCACGAGTGCATGGTGGACGGCTCTCGCACAAACCTGTACCGCCCGGGTGTTTATTAAGCGGTGCTCGGCTGTCAGCAAGCCGGCTGCGCGAGCCAGTCCAGCACTGACGACTCGTGAGTGTGACTACGGCTTGTCGTGCTTTGCCTGCAGTGCGAATGGAATCGCGAGCAGTCTGATGTATCCTGCCCTGCAAGTTTGTCAGTTTCGAGTCTGAGTGTCTGCATCGGGCGAAGCTCTGAGAGGCGTCGGGTGTACCGCCGCACCCGCTGCTGACTTTGCCCGCAAACGCCTTCGGATTGAGACCTTGCATGCATCAAGCGAGCATTAGCTTGTGTGCTATTCTTGGCCTCTGTACCGTGCATGAGACAAGATGACGAGATTTCCGGTCAGCAGCTGGGCAGATAGATGAGCAGGCAGACACTCACGACTGTGGTGACTTGATCGCATCAACACTCAGTGACCGTTTCCTTACGCACGCTCTCAAGCTCCGTTTCACACACAGCACAGCAAGTTCCGGTTCCCGACGCAGGAACAGGCGGGCCGCAGTGGCCCGGGTATTGCGGTATGTGAATTCTAGGTGTGTTCAGTGTACGTAAGCGCGCAAGTCGCCAAGACCCAGTCGCGGAGCGAGAGGCCTCCGCGAAAA